TGGCCCGGTTAAATTATGAAAAACGACACTCGGTATCTGACGTTAAACGCCTCAGCTTCAACGAATTTACCAAACGGTTGAGTGGTACTAGCAGCCTACTCCTCGTACAAACGAATGCTAGCAACGGTAGTAGTCGGGGGAGTAGTGAGATCGATGGATCTCAGCAAATGACACCACCAAGAAGCGGTGCGTTAAGTCCTAGAGGGGGAGCCATGTCGCCAAGCGAGCGGGAAGAACGATGTCGTTGGCGAGGTAGCGTTGGTGTGTTCGGCAACGAAGGTGGTTTCCTATGAAGCTAGCACTCCGACTATTGCGTATTCGATTCCTGAGGCAAGCGATTAAACGACCAGCACCACGGCTAGGGAAGTTGGATCTCTCTGTATTTGATACCACGAATTTTTGCTTGTTACGACTCTTCACGATGATTGCCCAAGAGCACGGCGCTATGATTTCCGATTTATGGAGCATGACAGTCCCCATGCATATTTGGAAATGTTCAGTAAATTTTTATCCATTGGAATACAGTACGACGAAATATGTTTGAGTAGCTGAAGGAAGAAGAGCATTTGTCACGATTTCTGAGCTGCAAGACCCAGCTCCTGTCTTATATCCATTTATTTTTAGAAAAGAGAATTTTTTGTTTGTTTTGAAGAATAATCGATACCCTTGGGTCATCATGCAAATAGATCACCCATATTTATATTATGTATTGTCTGGATCAGCGGTGTCCTCGTTTGCCCCCCCTTCCCCCCCCTTTGGTTGCGGTGTGATATCTCCTACCTCCCGACATTCTATTTGTCTGTTGATCCGGAATATCGGATGCTGCATATGCACCGAATTCCAGCTCGAGTGCTGCGTACGGGACCTTTGTCGTCCCTGTGGTGCGGGAGTTCCCCTCATCTTCAGCCACAGAGCTATACTACGGGTCGGAATCTTGATTATATGCTTGGCCTAATCGCCGTGCAACCAAGGTCACGCCGGTGTATCGTTCGGGTCTTTACCGAATCAAAGTTAAATCGGGGTAGCAATTTGGAAAGCTAATTACACCGAGTTCGTACGAAGTATCAGCTAGTCGAATTATTTTACACTCTGAAACCACCATGATAAAATTTGCTTGCGGCGATTTGGCCACGCCTAGATCTTCCTTCCGGTACAGGTCAAGGGGGCGTATCAGGTATGGCCTAGAAGGTGTCTACTCCGTAGTAGTCCACTATTAACCTGATCTATGGATTCCGGGGCCTCAATCACGTACGATCTTTCGTCATTGCGCGCCATTATGCCCGTTACTATAGTGCCGGATTCGGGTAGATCTAATCAATTTACCGGGTAAGGGCACATGGTAGGATCGGGTTTAATCTAGACCTCCTTGTAAGACACTAAGGAATAGAAGAAAGATAGCTTACTTTAAAGGAGCAACGGGATCGGCGAATCGCGGGGAGGGGGACGCTACTGACGAAGAAACTTGATGGGTTGGGTTGTTAATGAGGAAGATGACTTAAGAAAGACGACAATGCTGATATAATCTAATATACCGGTTTACATACTATTGAAATCACATGAGCAGCCCATTTTGCAAAGCTCAGTTATGAGTACAGGTAAGTCTTCTCTATGTAACTAGGCTGTTTGGAATAGAAATAAGTCGGAAATTAGAAATCAGTCTTCTATTATAAAGACCATACTAAAGAATCTGCGCCGTGCTATTAGCTCCGATTTACATATCGTCAAGGCCTAGAGCGTCATTAGTGGTGGTACTCGAAAAGCGAATACGGGTTACGTTATCCACCCTCTCCGGCCCCTAACATGCACAGCGTTCCACAGACCCTGAAGATCAGAGAAATAACAAGGAGTATCCTTCTTGTGAGGATACGGAGATAGGCTATACCGCAGGCAATATCAAGCAATACATACCTTAGGTACGTTATAAAGAGAAAGAGAGAGGTGGAAGATGTTAAGTAAAAAATAAAGGATATACGATTAAGAGTAAAATACTTGAAAGGAAATCCAAAGCGAAACGGTACCTGAGAAAGGTACCATTGGGGGCCAATTAGCCCCTGGCGCAAGGTGAGGTCCTTTCAGCTTTATTGCTCCTTTGTACCTATCAAGGCCCACTCTCTCTTCAATGGCTGGCTATGATCCCTGTCCTACCACGTATGTAATTGGTAAGCCGGCCCCAGTACCGTGGTCCATGCGTTGTTTAAGTGAACCTTCCCGTGGGAAAGGGTACTTTTCTGCAAGCTAGGTTAACCGTTTGTAGCGTTTCCAAAAAGTACCAGTTACCGTCGGTCCAATTCAAGTTCATCTCAACTTTCACACTCACACATCCTAAAGGTAAAAGTACCAAGCTTGTTATGACTTCACAATCGGATATCCTTCTTGAACTTTAAGATCTTGTTTTGAAATGGTTGGTACGGTTATAACTATTTTAGCCATTTGCTAGGTTATTTCTATCGGGCTAAGAAGGATAAGACCGGCCTTTAAGAGGTAAGTAAGTATTGGTAGTAGTCTAGTTAGAACATATGCTAATATTTATCCCGATTCTAGCATGAATACCTAGGTATCCACGAGGCTAATCTCAAGATGGAAGAGCGATATTCATGTTTATGCCGCACACGGGTAATGTTACCCAGCTATAGGTAGCAATATCTCGTATCTCGATATATGTCCTGCTGCTATACTATAGCTTCGCCTTCACAGCTCCCCTGGCCTCCTCTGCCCTCTTCCTCTTGCGTTGGAAGCCTGCTATCTTATGAGTAATCATACCCGTCCATAGTTCAAGCCATTTCTCGTCGAACGGGGGAAGTACACGGCCGGTGGTCCCCGGAGCCGGCTCTCCGGCGATGTCGCGCAGAAACTCGAAGAAAGCGCCGTAGTCGGGTGCGATCGAGTAGTAGTCCTTACCACCGCCTTTTTCGGCGACGCGTTTGCGCTCCCATTCTAGTTGCTCCGGAATTGAAGGTAGCGGCTTGGCTCGACCCGCGAGATGCCGTGCGACGGTGACGGCTTGCCATTCGTACACTCGGAACGTGAAGCCACCTCCGAGCTAAATACAATACATTAAAACCAGTCTTCTCTTCCGTGCTAATATGTGTGATGAAGAACGGGGTTATTAGTTGGGCTGGATTTGTGTGGGAAAGCTTACCATTCCGACAAACGTCAAAGTCGGGTCCTCGATGTCCCACGTATGCTGGTAAACCCCGGGAAGGCGACGATACGCATTCCTTATTCGCTCTTGCACGTGCTCGAGGTACGGCACGCTGAATGTGTACCCAGTTCCGAAGATAATATAGTCTACGTCGTCGAGGGTCGAACCATCGGCAAAGAAGACACGCCCAGTCTCGGGATCCAGGCGTGTGATCTCTTTCTTAATGGCGATGTCAGGATGTAGGAACGGCTCCCATCCGAAGGCTGGGATGGGTTCCCCTCTTAAAGCTGCGTAGACGGGGCTCTGAGCTGCTTCGAGGACTTCGTGGACAACCTCGTGCGCTGATATAGAGCCGCCTACTACGACCACTCGCTGTTACGCATGTTAGCAACTCTCAATTAGGTGGTGGCCACTTTGCGATGTTCACTTGCTTACCTTTCCCTTGAACTTTGATCCGTTGCGGAAGTGCTTGCTGTGCTGTATCCTCCCAGGGAACTTCTGATCGTACTCTACGAGCCCCGGAATGTTTGGAAACCATGGGACGTTGTAATGTCCCGTTGCGACAACAAGAGCATCGAACGTTTCCCTCCACCAGTAATTCCTCCCCGAGGATTCTTTCCTCAGCGTTAGCACCCACTCGTTGCCGACCTTCTCGGCTCGCTCCACAGTCGTATTTAACTCGAGGAGCTTCTCGTGGCCGCCACGGGAGAATATGCCCTCAATCCACTCGCGGATTACCGTGTGGTGCCGGAAAGGAGCGTCAGGGCCGTACTCAGCTAACGTTCGAGGTGACAGCTTGTTCGGGAAGGGCTCTTGAGTATAGCTCATGATAGCTGGCGTGATGTTGCTATGCAGATTCTCATGGAGCGCTGTATCTGAGAAGCGCTGCTGGTGCCCGTTGATCTCATCGGATGGTAGTGTAACAGCCGGTAGCTGTTTTGGCAGAGGAACAGCAACGTCCGCCTTGCCCGATACTAAGTCACTAAGAGACGGGAATCCCGTCGGTAGGTGAGGCGTGTAAACCCAGGTGCCACCGATTCCGGCTCGCCGGTCGAATACCCGGATTGTGTCAAACGCCTGCTCCTTTACCAGCGCATCCGTGGCTATTGCACCGGAGGGGCCGGCCCCGATAACAGCCACGCGCCGCGCTTTGACCGCCATGGTAGCCTATAGCAATTATAAGACGGAGTATCCAAGTGGCGAAATACTAGACGCCTTATCCCTTTACGGCCGTTACCTGCGGGCTCACGTATGCGACTTTGCTTAAGCGTCTTAAGGAGAGAAGCCCAGAAATGTAAACGGGTGGCTTTTATGTCTAAAACATTGAGCCAATCTCCTCCTTTGAGGAGAAAGGCAGAGAGCTCGTTCACCGATAAGCATGCTGCATTGCGTGACACTTGCCGCGATGGCGTCTGCGTCTGACCCGAGCACGCCAAAGAAGTTGGCCGTATTGGATGGTACAGTAGGGATTATAGACATTGCGGAGAACTATCTGCTGCTACCTACTCCTCTCTCTACCATTGAAATGTATGCATTCTCACAATGCGCCGCATTCGAGGTTTGGGCAGGGTAGCGATCACGCCATCCTATACTATCTGCACGTAACGAACATCTGTATGGCCACACAGCACTCCTCAAGTTCGCAACCCCTCTTGCCTCCGGCAGGCTTCCGATATGTAGTACAGCGGCAAGGAGTGCTTTAAAGCGAATAACATCCATGTTGTCATGTAAAAGGATGGATAATACCCCGTCTTATTGCTCCTGCACAATTACTTGCAGGATTTGGTAAAGATACTGCGAATAGATATAAATCCGATATATATATAACGTAAGATTTATTAATTTAAGTCTACCCGAAATGCCGTCTGCCGTCGTGCCCGAGCGACCGCTTCCGGTCTACTTTATCGGACATGCCGGGGTGGGCCTCCTATTCAGAGAATCGCCGCAAAACCGGATCGTCCAGGACAACCTCCGTGCCGTCGGCGAGGAGATCCGCGCGATATCACCCCGGCCGAAGGCCATCCTTACTTTTAGCGGACACTTTGAGGCCGGGGAGATTCACGGACCCGGGGTAATAGAAGGTGAGCTTAGAATGTTTACCAGTTTGCTCCGAATGACGGCTAGTTAGAGCAGCACGGAAAATTGTGTGTAACTAACTTAACCGGCATCTTGCGTATATGGTAGTCAATGTGAAGAAAGGAACATATATCATGGTAAGGGGACATACATACATTCGTCTCGACCAGCTTAAAGGAGATGAAAAATATCTAAGATAAAAAAAAATACTAATATGTATAATACCCAAAATAGCACGATTTTGTCAACGACTTTCACGACTCAGCGCCATTCGTCTACGAGTACGACTGGCCGCACGAGGACGCACCCGAGCTGGCAACAGAAGTGTGGAGGCACCTAACGAAGTCCGGAATCAAGGCTAAGCGGGTGGAACGCGGCGTCGATCACGGCGTCTGGGTCCCCTTCAAGCTCATGTTTCCACCTGAGAACCCACTCGATGTTCCCGTAGTCCAAGTCTCCACGTTCTACGGCTATGATCTAGAGAGCCAAATCCGGCTGGGAGAGGCCGTTGCATCGCTCCGGTGAGTGCATATATGCCTATCTATTAATTAATTAATGTTCTCATCGCACTCCAAATTAACTAACTACACGTTACTAACGCGAATTTCTTCTTGCCAACGGCATAGTAACGAGGGATATCTCATCGTCGCCTCCGGCATGGCGGTGCACTCATTCTCGTCTATCGCGGAGATCCAAGATGCGCCGTCCGACGAAGCAAGGGAGCTCGCGCGGCAGAGAGTCCTAAAGGAGTCGCGAGATTTCGATACGCATCTCCGAGCAGCTGTGGCGAAGCGTGATGCTACGGAGCGCAGAGGGGCGCTGCTACAGCTGGAATCGCTGCCGGAGTTTCGCCGCTCGCATCCGACGGTGGAACACTTTACGCCGCTGCTCGTAGCGGCTGGGGCGGCGGGAGATGCTGAGGATGTTGTGCCGCTGGGTGTTGATGTGGTTGAGCCTGGTATGTCGTATTTGAATGTGCGGTTTACTTGAAGGTTGTTTGACTGGCTGGATATATGTAATAGGTATATTAGACTGTTACCTCTTGTGTGATTCCGGCTTATATTTCAGGGGTCCAAAATCGGTTACAGTCTATTTATTAAATCAGATATGAGTGAGTTTTGTGATATGGCTTATGCATTAACAATAAAATGAGGAGGTAAACAGTATATAAATGTTTCATGTGATTATTATATTTGCTCATTTGTAAAGACATGGAATAGTCACTGGCCTTATATGTATATGGTACAATCTTGATAAGCAAGAACAAATTCAAGGGTATATCTAGAATCATGCTATCTTAGAGCCAGACTACTAGAATGAACCTCCCTAGCTTATATCTACCAATGATACCTATATTTGCGGCCCTTCCGATCTGTATATAATGCCTCTGGCTCTAGAGATGGCTCATCATGTATTTTCCTAGCGAAACGGCGATTCGACCACTTAAACAAAGATGTTTGGATGGTGAGTGTTACAATCCACACAGCGCCGAGAGCTAAGCATGCCGCCCATGCTCGGCGGTATAGGGGTGCGTCGGACTAAACGGAAGGGAAAACGTAATTAACGATTATTCTCAAAATAGGGGGAGCAAATAACTTACTCCTCTAAATACCTGGTTTCCGTATGTTCCACCTAAGTTAGAACAACCAACTGGAGACAGTTTGTTAGAATGTCTCTCCCTAAAGTATGGTGTGATATAGGCTTAACGTACTGTATACTGCGTATGCAATAGCACGTTTCTGTGGCGTTTTCTGGTTCAGAGACAACCACGTAACATTCAGAGGCTGCCAACCTCTACGTCACGAAGCCCGTTAGTACACATTGTTAATAGGGATGAATACGGGGGGTACATCTTACGGGGCAGCAACCGTCACGACATAAGCAGCGTAGAAAGACCACGAGGCCTCGGTAGTAACCGGGAGATTCTTCACTTTGTTAGGCTCGACGCTTCATGCCAGGGGTAAGCAGACCTACATAAAGAGCTATAAGCCCAGCCATAGTCCAAACCGCAGCAAACATGATAGTGTAGCCGAACCGCTTGTACCGGTCTACGAACCGGGACAAGACGAGCGCGAACAAAGCCGAGAGAAAGGGTGCCGGGGCATTGAGTAGATTCGCGCGGATGCTCGTGAAGCCGAGAGATTGGACGATGGTTGCTCCCCACGTTTGCAAGCCGCCGGCAGACTGAAGACCGCTTAGGCAGATGATTAGGTAGGGCCAAGTAGTCCAGCTGAAAAGCACGTCGGTTCTACATGGACAAGTTAGTAGTAAGCACGCCTATATTCACTCTTTAGTAAGAATTCAGAAGAATGATGCTTACATATCCTTAAGCCCAATGCTCATGGTAGCAGCCTGTCCTTTCTTCGGATCGGCCCTGATTATCCTCGCCACGAAGACGTCCGCTTCGCGCTCGGAGAGCCACCCGCTCCACGGGACCAAGCCACCAAGGAGGCGGTTTGTATGGTGAGGGGACTCGGGGACGAGAGTAAAGGCTACGAGTCCGGTAGCTAGAATACACGGTCAGTCAAAACCAACTGTTGTTTGGTGTTTAAGTCGGTATTCTTCTCACTTATCGTAGAAACGCCACAGATGAGAAAAATCCTAAGTATAAGCGCCATCATTAGCACACAACGACCATAGGTATTCTATAAAACCACACCAAATAACCAACCATTGCCACCCATACAGCCCCCTCGCGCCCTCCTCGATACTCAGAGCCCCGGCACTTATCAACGAGCCAAAAGCCGCCGAAATCGACGGGCCGAAGAAAAACACCGTCGTGCGGCTCGCGAGCTCGTCCTGCGTGTACCACCGCGAGAGCACGTACAAACTGCCAGGGATAAACCCGGCCTCCGCCAAGCCCAGGACCAAGCGCGCCGCGTACCATCCGCCGGCGTTCCGCACGAACATCTGCAGGACCTCGATTACGCCCCAGACGACTACCTGTAGCGGGATCCAGTAGTGAGGGCCGACGCGGTGGAGGACGATCTGTCTGGGGTTAGCTACCTAGCTACCTGGCCTTCATTACTATGTAGAAAGGGTGCTGTTTTTATAGAATGGCCAGGTATAAGAAGATAGAAGTTTTAAGTAAGCGCACATTTGACGGAATCTCGAGTAATACGATCCCGAACCAGAGCAGCGAGACGCCCGTGTTCGCCTGGTCTCGCGTCATGTGGGTGTCTTTCAGGAAGGTCGACGTCAGGACGCCGGAGACGTTGGTGCGGTCGATGGCCATCCATGTGAACATGAGCTGTGATGCGAGTTAGGCATTAGATAATAACAATATAATAAGCTTATACTCAACAATAGGAGGTAGGTAGATATGACCCAACGGGCGCAAATACATACGGCGAATATAGGAAGAAACAAGTAATCCGCCTTACGAACAACGCGCCTCTCCTCTTCCTTCATCCAGCTGACAAGGACTCGTTGACCATTCCTCTCGATATGCTGGTGGAAATACAAGTTATCTTCCGAGCTCCCAGACTCGCCATCGGACGGTGTATTCAAGCCCTCTTCCTTAGCGTCTACCCCAGCTTCAGCAACGAGCTGCGCCGCCATCTTACTCGGCGCCGTAGCCGTAGCAGCGACGGCCAGAGACTCCGTAACTTGAGACGCCATGCCGTATACCCGGAGAACTCAAGATAGCATATCAATTCCTTACGACAACACGTAGTCAAGGGGTGATAGCACTATATAAATCGCGACAGACCCAACAATACGGAACCACGCGGGTCGATGATACAGACCCTTAACTACGTTAACAGAAGAGCGCCAGGACCGGTAGGCGAGATTCCGATGCGATGGGACTAACATGCGAGTACTTTCGCAGTCGTAGGATTCAAAGATATCCCAAACCATGAAAGCTCGCTTGTCCAAAGCGGCGAACCATCTTTTTGGGAAGCCGAGCCGATTCTACCATTCCATCGCCTAATGTTGCGATGCTAGATAACCATACCATACATACCAATAGCTACGGCGGCAATTTACAAGTGCCGACCCTGGTTGCAGTGTAAGTCGTTCTGGGTCGGTAGGGTGTGATGTCGTCTTCGGCCCTGGGAATATCGTGATAATAGTGGGGTTGGTATGTCTGGATTGAATGAGTGATTCGAGCTTTTGTGTAATAGGTCAATTGTTATTGGAGAATCGGCCTTAGAAATAGATTAAGAGTATCGTTGATTTCGAATAATTAGAGATTTGTTAAATCTTGGGCTTGAAGACATAGAAACCTACCTCCAAAGGCAGATACACAAGCCTTGGTGCTAATATAACAACGGCAAGTTGACTAAATTCAAATTTCAGATCGAATAGAACTGTAGAACTTGCCCATAAGCGAGGTAGTTATACGAGTTGAAAGTGTCTGTTGTACACCGGGTCACAACCAAATCTTGATGCGACTACGGTCCATCTACAATTCGTCTCTTTTGGTATATGTACATATGATACATTAACTTCGATAATACACTTATCGACGGCCATGAGCGATACCATAGATCCTCTTGCTGTATTTCCATAAGCCTCTGTACTTGGGCTTCTGCCTCTTGGCTTCCCATCCCCTCGGCTTCTTCTCCTCCTTGAGAGAGTAGACTCTCTTGAACTTGAACTGGACATCGGCGCCCGGAATACCGGCCCTCTCCATAACGCCAGCAGTACCCTCATCCCAGATCGTTCGGAAGATGTTGAAGCCAACTGGCGTGAGGCCGAACTTGTCTCGGTAACTCTTGAGACTGAATCCGTCTCGGCCAGAGTATAACTCTCGCAACTTAGCAATATCTATGTTTTCCCCTGGCTTCTGTTCCAGAACAAACACAGATAATCGGTGATACGGCGCGCCCTTTTGAGAGAAGGCGGGAAGCCACGGTACAGCAAGTTGAGACTCCTTGTTGACCTTACCTAGGGGCAAAGAGGGTTGGTTAGGAGAGATTGGAACGTTTGCCGCAAGATAGTGACACCGCCTGTCAAAGGAGTCCGTCTCTGCGTTGGGAACATCCGAGTCCATAACTACGACTGAGACGAGGCGCTCGCCAGGGTTGAAGACTTGAACTTTCAAGCGCGGCGGCACTTCCGTAATTCGGGAATCAAGAATAGCACCGGGAGTAACCTTAATTCGTCGGAAGAACAGTTGAACATCTACAACGGGATCAAACTTGGGTAGCACATCGGGGACGATGTTGAGCTGCTTGATACGTTGTGTGATGATACGATAAGGCAAGCCACGCCATTTACGCTCAGCATAATACCGGTAAATCGGCTTGTCCATGTCGCCTGTGTAATTGTTAGCATTTATATCTCTTCACCACCCCAAATATCAATAAATACTATGACCAATAATAGTTGAGCAAAAAAAAAAAGAAAAAAAAAGGGGGGGAATACAAGAAAAAAAAGAGACCAATAAAAATAAAACATACAACACCAGGGATTCGCTGGTCGTCACCGACCCAACTACTAATCTGGCGGTATCTGGCTTATCTATGGGGGAGCGGACGGGACCCCGAGTTTTCCAGATCCTATGGTCGTATGTGATAGAAATTTTGGTTATTCTTTTTTATAAAGCAGTCCAATTGCCAAGTCCACTCCAGACTCAGCAACCGTGTGCTTTTGAAGTTGGCCCAACCCCTATCATCCCACCACATTCCAGTAATATAAAATTCGCACCAAAATTCAAGGAAGCCCAATGTAACGCATAGTGGCTCAAATACTTCCAGAAAGAGAGAAAAGAGAGAGAGAGAGAGAGAGAGAGGAAACTTACCGAGGCCGTCTTCGAACTTCCGCTTAACGACGGGGTCGTTGACATCTGCCAGGATTTTGAGCTGCTCCACCCACTTCTTCAAGCTGGCAAGACGCTTGTTCTTCCTGTACTCGCCGCCGGGGACCTGATCAGCCGGAGTTTCCTCCAGCCTCTTAATCTTAGCCAGCTCTTTTGCGATAGCCTGGATCTTCTCCTGTCGGTCCTCCTGTAAGATCTTGCGTGCCTCCTGGAAGCATTGGTAAGGCAGCAGCTCGAAGGGCACGTTCTCAGAGGTACGTATGGCGGCACGCCGACGTCGCGAACCAACCGGGGGCGTACCCATGCGGACGAGCTTCCGCTCGGCCCAATGCGCCGTAGTAGTCTCCCGGTCCATCAATCGCTCCTTCATGCGCAATTTCTCGGTTTCTGCTCCATTGGCGCTTGAATTGGACTTGCTGGCGGCCTCTAGCTTGTCTAATGAGGTTGTCGAGGCCGTTGGCGGAGTAGAAGTAGTTGTTGTAGAGCCCTCATCTTGGCGTGCTACACTTCTCGAGAAAGATCGCGAGAAATGCGATGCGCTCTGGAGGAAGATGCGCTCTTGTCGAAGAGTCTGCACTAAAGGCCTTGCAACCCTCTGACAGCTCGACATGGCTCGGCTCTGTCGAGACTGTGATTTGGTGGTGGGTTATAGAGGGAGGAGGATAATCGATATGTAGAAAACATGGAACTTTTTGAAGCTTGTGTCTCCACTATAAAATTAGAAGTGCTCTGTCTTAGTGGACGGCACACTCCGCTATATCTATCGATATGAAGTATCTACGTACCCTTAGCTTGCATCTTTAATATTGAATTTTTCCGGGGTTGAATTGAGTTTCTGCGTCTTCAATTGGGATATCGACAATCGACACACTTGCCGGCGGGCCTACCAGGAAATTCAAACTACGCCGGGTACGCCCCCTTACCGACCGGAGACATGGCGAGCAAAGGTGTAAAGTGTCTCAATGAGGCCTTTAAAAGCCTAAGCCTATCGTCACAGACATGCAGAGAAGCCGTTTCAGTGCGTTATACTCTTTTCAATAAATCGACTATAGTCGGCATGGCTGCTAACGAGCCCAGCATCGGATACCATCGTCGACATTTACTCGATCAATGGCAACTGAAGCACCTCTACCCAAAATCACCACCTCGGTAGACTCAGACTCTATATGGAGACCAGGTACACATCCATCCACCTACCCACCACCCATCATCCACCCCCGCAACTCACGAGCCCTCTTCCGTACCTAAATCCAAGGCACCCCTCGATTCACCATACTAACACAAACCAACAACAGCAACCACAGTCCCCCTAACCATCTTCAACTTCCCATCCTTCGAACCGCAGCGCCTCGAGTCCTGGTCCGCGAAGCACCTGCACCTGCCGCTGCGGCGCGACATCCTGCACCTAGCAGTCGTATACGAAGGGGACAACACGCGGCAAGGCACAGCCTCGACGAAGACGCGCTGGGAAGTCGCCGGTTCGCACCGCAAGATGCGGCCGCAGAAGGGCTCGGGCCGCGCCCGCGTAGGCACGCGGCAGTCGCCCATGCTGCGCGGCGGCGGCAAAACGTTCGGCCCCAAGCCCCGCGACTTCGGCACCAAGCTCCCGCGCAAGGTGTACGACCTGGCCTGGCGCACCGCGCTCAGCTACCGGTACCGCCGCGGCGAGCTCGTCGTGTGCCAGGACGGCATGGAGTTGCCGCTGCCGGCCGAGTTTGCCGATCTCGTCGCTGCGGGGGAGTTGCAGGACGAGCTGCAGCGCAGCTTCAAGGCGAAGTGGGTGCAGCAGGTCCTCGATGCTAATGATTGGGGGCGGCGCAGCGGCCGCAGCACGTTCATTACGACTTCGCCTCGGGATAATCTGTTCGAGGCGTTGGAGGAGGTGCCGAATTACGGACGCGCGCTGGAAGTCGACGACGTCGATGTTAAGAATCTACTAGAGACGGGCCGTCTAGTTGTGGAGAGGGAGGCGCTTAAGGAGCTGATCGAGCGGCATCAGAGCGATATAGTCACGAGAGTGTTTGTCGCTAATGCTGCGTTGCCGAGGGCGCCTGAAAGTGGCCATGTGTTGGTAGAGTAGCACATAAATCCATCAAGGCATATGAGATGTAATATCTCACTGTATTTCGGCTGTATATTATTTGAAGCCATTGTAAAACCTCTAAACTACATACCTCATAACCGGGACTAACATGTCCGTATATTGATGCCATTGGGATTACTATTTTTTTGAGCATGTATAGACCCTATAACAAGCTCTAGCATCTTCAGTCCTTTGCTTTCAATTCTGATATGAGGCTTATCTTGGAATGCCTCGAGCAAGCATGCTGTTTACTAACTTACCTATACGTACTAACTTACCTTAGGTATATTACATAGGTCATCTTTACCATAATTCGCCCAGTAACAGACATAATGACATGGATCTTACGTATCGCACCCATACAAAATCTACGTCCTAGCCAATTCCGGTTCGATTTCCCCCAGCTTTTAACCCTTAGATCACGATGCACTCACTTATAGAGCAACAACTTTAGTATTGCTATCTAGGTCCGGAGGCGAACTGGCAACGGCCCACCTAGATTGGACTTGAACGGTTGTAAGAAGACGGTGCGGTGCGTCAGGGAGTGAAGTCATGGATATAGTATAGTTTTAATTCTCTGACGTTATAATGAGGTACCTAGGTATATAAATATATGCGGCTTTCTTAATCTGTAGTTACAATATAAATGATTGGGTAGTAATATTACAATTCAATTAGTGCCTCATATAATCTTGACTATTCCGTCCTTTCTCGTGCCAAGTCTTCGTTGTTTAAAATTTCATATAATCTTTAGCAATTTGTTTCTCTCGCTTTGGGTTGAAACCACCTAACAAGATGAGCATCGCCAAATATCGCCAAATATCGCCTTTACATTTATGAGAATTCTGACTAAGCATTAACTAAAGTCTAGTTGGAATTTCGAAGTGGCTTGACTTCCCAAGACACGGGACTACCTACTGCGTACTAGGCCCGAGGACAGGGAGATGAGCAAACTTACCCATCTTCCATCTTACGTCGGTATCATTTTAATACAAACACGTTGTTCTTCTCGGACCGAGTCGATCCAGCCGAATATTCACCGCCTCTCTAGGCGCACTTACATAAGTCTTTGGTTATGGCTGTCATTGGTGAATCGTGTGCCACTATACCTCGGAGTTGATGCCGCTGTCAAATCACGTACTCTCCAGATAATAATGCACGGTCCGGTTTAGTCAAGGATTAAGAGACTGGAAATCACAAGTAAGACGACACCTCCATACAATGTTAGAATCACAATCAGATTATCTTATATTTCCCTCCTTTTCTCCTTTTCTCCTTTCGAGTACGGCATTCTCCCATATCAATTTTCACGATCACGACCAGCGCCGGAATACCCACAACCGATTGTGTGTGACACTCGCGGCAACGGAAAGTGCCTCCGAGGTGATTATGGTCTTGTTTAGTCATTATGTCCCCAGTCTATCCGATATCCAAGAGATTGTCTAGTGGGAAAGCCGTCCTTTACTCTTTCCAGCCCTCTCCTCGTTGCTTTAAAACCTAAAGCCCCCCTAGGAGGAACTGAATACAGGAAACGGGACCTTTAGTATATCTCCTGTTAGATTCAACCCTTTGAAACCCTTTCCCCCCGCATAGATGCACGTATTTTCACCGTTTCTGTAGCAAACTCCTAGAGCATAGAAAAAACTGACTTAGACGACCGTAGGAAACCTTTATAACAGAAACGTAGAACACCATTCGTACTGTTACCGCTCACCAGTTTTATCAGATACTTGTACTAGTATTGCCAACCATAATTCATTTTGTCCGTTAACAAGGGTTGCAAGAAGGGACCAGCATTCAGCTTGAGCGTTCTGGTATATGACCATACCACGCACGTTACGGCCTCAAGTGAGCGTTCCCTCTAGCTCGAATACTTCCGAATTAGCTTGTAGGAATAGTGGAATTTTTGAATGCTTCAACCATCGACATACTATGAAAAACCGTGATGTCTTCAGGCGTCGTATTATGCAGAGCATCCATCGGATAGGGCTCTTCGTGTGAGTCCGATGCTGCGGCCTGCGGGAAGTTCGGCGTTAGATCTGAACGGTAGAGTATGGGTGGACTTGGTATGAAATCCCCGGGGTGGAACGAATGTGACGGAGCAACTGGGCTAAGAAGTTCCAAATCATGCATTGTCTGATATCCTGCAGCGGAAGAGAAGCTGTCCTGACGACTAATAATATGTCTAGGTGTGTCGCTTGAATTGGCCAGCATCTGGTCGTATCTTTCGCTCGTTCCCAGGACAAATCTCTTTGCTTCGTTTTCGATCCATTTGTTGATATTGGTGTCGTTGCAACCGGAATGATCCATGAGTTGCGACTTGATCTGAGTAATCTCATTTTTCAAATCGCTATACTCCCTCTGAAGGTGGTTGTGCTGGTTTTCTAAGTCAAACTTCGTTTCTTCTAGATCCGTCACCCATTCCCTTTTCTTTTGGCGACACTTAGTCGCCGCTGTTCGATTTCGCTCCAGGAACTTGGTCCTTTTGCTCGTGTTGACGCCATGATCAGTATCATCATCATCTGCATATTGCCTTCGTCGTCGTGTCTCTCTAGTGGGAGGAGAGTTTGGTGGCACAACCCCGTTCTGTCTGGGTCTATTATGCGCCCTACCCGTTATGCAAGCGCTTGTATCCTCTGGCGTTACGGTTTGATGCGATGAGCGAGATTCTGATGTTTTGGATGATAGAATCGACGACCCGGAAGAGTCAACTTTATCCGATTTGGAATATGACGTCGGCCGATTTTTGGCACGGCGATTTGCAAGTCTTCCCGAGGTCCTAATGAAGACCGATTTCTGAGGCGAAGAGTTTGATTGGTGAGCCTTGGCTGGCAGTGCGTCGATCGAGGGACTGCTTGGGTCGGTGCTGAGTTGGGCGTATGTATATTCGTCGCCTTGGTCCATTATAAATTGGGAGTCGGGGATCTCGCTTGCAGAATATTGGTCATTCCGGGCGTCAATATTAAAAGATATGGGTAGTCTATCCATACTTGCTACGGGACTTTTGAAAAATCTCTTAACCTAAGGAAGTTATCCAGGACACAGCTAGGGAAATGGGATATGCAAGGCATGAATGGATCGGGCACGGATTTAATAGTTGGAAGGGTTGGACCTCCAGCTACCCAATAGTCGAAGGACTGGTGAAGGGCTGGTAAAGGTGGCTTGCCCATTAGAAAGATGGTCGAGGGGGGGAGCAGAAGGAGATGGACATGCCAGCATGCGAGTCGAGCACAGTTGTTTCACGCCATCTGAAGCGCCAAAACCAAATCGAAGAAAGCGAGAGCAAATCGATTTATTATTATTAGGTCCCTATAGTTGTGTTACGGTAGGTGATGATGGCAAGTGAGGACAAGGGACATAATTGGTAATCAGAAGCGTATTTGCTGCGTTGCTGCTCCTGCGAGGAAACTGCTAAGTTTTAGGCAGGGCTTGTGAAGAAGGAAAGCATGAGAGGCATACAGACGGGGCTAGTGGAACCAGGGGAGACATTTTGGATGGATGCATACTACTTACAGACTAGCAACTTCCTTCACATTCGGTACATAACCCAAGGTAACTACAGGTAACTACATACATAGGTAGGTATTGGGTAGGTAGGACCGAGTCGCGGGTCTCCAACCTCACATGTACGTAATGGATGTGGTTTATTAGTCCTGCAATGCCCGTTCAACTTCCTGGCCTTTTTATCAATGTCTGCTGTTCCTTGCTACGGAACGACTGCATTAAGTTTCGACTGCATCAACTGCATGGCTAGACGAAACTTTGTCCTCCCAGCCCCCTCAAGCCTCATGGGTGCATTCCGAACAGTGTCCCATATGGGCTTAATAGTCCTGATCTGAGCAGTGGTTAGGTAAACCATGGTTAACTAGAAGTGCCCTGGAAGGGCCCTGGAAGTATCAGCATATGGTGGCTGTGATTACGGACTGGGCGGTTGAGATCCGATCTCCGATCTATTTCGATCGCAAGACAGACGCTAAAGCGGCAAAGAAGTATGAATACGAGTCGGAATATGCCAAGTCCGCATAAAAGCTTCTTAATTTACCTACATCATGTACTCTGAAATGATAAATCCTATTCGGTAAGTGCTAGATAAGCCACATGTACCTTTAATCAGACTTTTGACAAATTTCAATGCTTCTAGATCTCGATTAACCTCTACCACGAAGTATCGGCGCAAACTTAAGCAATTGTGTGTTATTTGTGGTAAACAGAGCCCCTGAGCATCTAGAATGTTCATCTCATTCGCCGTCTCGAAAAGCTCTGACAACCACATCCTTAACAGCAGCAAGGGCAAAATTACCAGTAATAGTTAGCTTCAAATAGCAAATGCTATCTGGGAAGGGCTCCGACGGACGTGGTGATGTCTACAAGATGTTATTTTATAGACCTAGGTATCTCTTGAGTCTGGAATCGAGCCTGTAAGATTTGATTAGAGGATATGAATAAATACTAGAGGCATGTGAATTTATATTGGGAATTTATTGAAGCCTAATTACTGTCATGTGGCTTTTGATAAGTGGTTACTACGTTCACCAAGAGAGAGATTGGATGCTTCGGGGCTTATGTATGAGCAGGGGGCATTCATAACATAATCAAGCAATGTAGCCACTCCAGAAGACTACCTATGTAAGTTCAATGGAGACAAGGCTTATTACATGTAGTGAGTGGATTTGCCGTAGGTTTCTTGACCGGAAAGTCTAATTAATGGCTTGATCTTGACGGAATTGACGGGGCACGATAAAGGATCATGCTTGCGTTTGTAAGTCTCTTCCAAAAATAAGAATTCGCCACCACACCCATACAATTTCGAACCTGATAATAGAGGATTGAATTGATTTATGTACCTAGGTATTCTATTCAACTGACGTGACCCCTTATTTATGACAAGAGATAGACTGACTCTAGACGTTAACCATTTCAAGGTCTGATAGCATTTATCACTTCCCAACTGTCCCTACCTAGTGAAGGCAGCTGAGCTATACGATATACGGTGGGTTCACACCTTAGCAAAGCACTAGGAAAGTGTGCATATTGTGTCTATCAACTTCTACGGGGGTTCCCTTCGATAAGTTGTAGTGATCTCCTTTCTCATCACATGAAAACGAAAAAAAAAAAAAATACTCTGTAACCTCGGAATACCATGTCAGGTTACGATGAAGTGTTGCAAGCCTAGAATACGACTATTTATTCGTTGATCTCGTTGGTCATGTCTGTTTCGGTTTCGATTTCGATTTCGATTCCCCACTGCTACCCGGCTCCGGTGAGGTGACTTTTGACACGTTGTTTCGGCTCGCTGCAGCGCTGTCTTTTAGCTCTTACCTAGTATCGTATATGGAATAAATAGGAGCTGACATGCATCAAGGCCGGTGCTAGTCTTGTCTACGAGGCCTAGACTTACTTTGTACAATTTACCTAGCAGTCCTAGGTACCTTCTTCCTTTTCCTCAATCTATGAAATCAGGGACGTTGAGCACTCCGGAGTCAGATATAGTCTCTCCGGAGAATTTGATTGGCTAGATAGGTAAGGTGAAGAGTTTAACTACTTAAAACCAATCACATCTTGGCGTTAGATCCAGCTGTTGTGCAACGGCGTATTGTTGAAGGCGCCTCCGAACCTGGAAGTCTAGGAAGAAAAGTACACTTACTATGCACGTGCCAACAAACTTACCGTCTTTCAGCTAGTTACACCGTTTTGCTTCAATGTTCTGAGCGGCTAGTTCAAAGTTTAGCTGTTATGCTAATCGTCAAGGACTTAAAGCTTATATGTAGGTACGAACCGAGGGCCCCCCCCTGTTGAGGAAGATTGAGGAGAGGAAATGCGATAAGATTACATAACCCCCAAGCTTTAAGAGAAAGACTGGCTGTTTAGTAAAGCTTAAATCATCCCTGTACCTAGGTATGGATGTCATTGAGCGCCACACCTTGGCGCTCTACGGATTACGGGCAGTCACAACCTACGACACGGGTCATGCGTTGTGGCTAAAGCGGGCCGCAACCCGCTTTAATGACGCTTGGACCATCTCATTTTCCAACTATGTATGTACAAAATTTTGAGACGATTCAATTAAATTCAATTCAATTCTCAGCTTTCAGCCCTGTCTCTTCATGACGCGTCGCGACCGCCTTTGACCGGCCCCACACTTAACCCTTAACCCTTACCTCTAAGTCTTTGATAAATCTCCATCTTCAATCTTCAGAACTGTTGTATCTAAGACTTTTAACGGTATCACCGTCGATTGTACAATGGAGTCGACTTCAACGCCCCGCATCTCCGCGGCCCTTATGGATTCGTATATTGGCCGCAACGTCATAATCGTTGGCAAGGTTGCCCAACTTCGTGGCGACATTGCTTTTATTGAGGCTGACGGACAAGTTCAAGCCAACCTCACCAGGGTAAGTGAAAGTCGACTCACAGCGTCGTACATGATCTACGCTGACAACTATACTATCGTATACAGGATTGTCACCTCATGGTTGGAAATGGAGCGCAGATTATCGGCAAGGTGAATCCAGACCTGTCCATTAAAGTGCTGAACGCCGTAGATCTCGGCTCTAACGTTGGTATGTATTACACCTTATACTACACTTACTTTCTTACTGTCTACAAAAGCGTCATCCCGTTTAGAATTGGGTCTGACGTGCGGGCTTATGAACAAACGGAGCATACAATAAGGTCTTGCTCAACTCATTTAGCCACCTAATATATCTTTATCCTATCTTATGGATTATATCTTATAATATATTATCCTAACACTATGTTTCGCAGATTTCCAAATATGCCAGAACGTCGTTGACGTTACACACCAGTTTAAGGATATCTTCGTGTATCCAGAACGAGGCGGCATGAACTGACGTTTCGCACATGGACGCGTGTCTCTGGGATGGCCGGCTGGTTCACAGCAGCAGTCTTCGTCTCAGCAGTCCCAACCTCAGCCTCAGTTTTTACCTCAATCTCAATCTCAAAAACATGAATTACGAAGTTTTGCTGAATCAACTAATACTACTGCTTCTTCCGTTGCTACGACTGCTACTATGAGCTCGCGGTCTTCTGAGACCCCTCGAGCGATATCACCGCCGACTAATCAGCTATCCCAACTATCCATCCAGGAGACACCGCAGTCCTCTCACACCGTTACCCAGTCGTCTGTACCTAATGACACCCAGTTCTCCCAGCAACCACCCCCTGTTACTCAGGACACTCAGTATACTCACTACACGTATGAGGAAGCCACATCCTCGTTACGGCAATATAAACGTAGTCGGTCATCTCAGTCCTCTCGTCATCGACGGAAACCCCCTGCGTCTTCACTTGAAAAAGTCAACTATGAACCACCAGCTCCAGACCTAATCTCGGACCCAGTCCCACCCCCTGCCTCGGTTCCAATAGCAGCACCAGCCACCGTCCCTATTTCTGTCTCAGTCTCAGTCCCTGCCTCAAACCCAATCTCAGCCTCGGCAGAGCCATACTATTACATGACCTCCCCCTTTCCTGTACCTCCCCCCGCACAGCGACGCGGGCGGCTTTTCCGTACACGCTCCGGGAATCTGGTAACTGCCGTCGAAATCCGGCGACGTAGAGAGCTAGAGCGACACGCCGAGGAGTTACTACAGATGACCCTTGAGGGTTTTGGTGACGAGCTCTCTCATACGATCACCTTCAATCTGGACGACACCGGCCGCTGGCGCATCGCAAGGCAGGACCAGCCGGAGGTGGAAGTATATGAAAATGCGTAGCTTATGACCTAATTCGAGTACATTTCTCCCTCTGGTATGTGGGCTTCGGATAGAAATCCTCAGATAGGAATTTCATAAGAAGGAAAAAAGGAAATAGTGTGTATGTTCGAGCACCCACTTACTATCGTGATGATGATGATTTGAAAATATACGTAGAAAAGGCTTGCCGTTTCATCTTTTAGCCCCGACATTCCCCTATATTTGATCCTGAACACATATCTAGGCGTTAGTATGGCTATCTGCGTAATGAAACATACTGGGTTTAAGTTTGTCTTATTAGAGAGAAACCCCCTTCAAAAAAAAAAGAGAACCTGTTGCTGTAAAGCCGTTATTATAAAGTATACACGAGGCTCTGCTCTATATATTGGATACTAGTGGCCAGGCTGTTCGAAATTAAGGCCCAGTCGCTATTTCCAAGATGAGGCTTTAGTAATGAATAGGAGCATATGCTTATTATGCGATAGTTGCAATTCCCCGAGGGTCGTGGCTATATATCACTACGATTATAAGAGGTAGGTAGCAATCTCATTATAATAGTTATAACTAGCTGTCAAACAAGCTTAATAGTTCTCTAGTCGAAAAAGGATTAGGTATATTAGGTCGGTTCAGGATTCATAGAACATACATAGACTAGCGAATCAAATCACAACTGCGGTCCTTAACTATTGGTTCTTTTCTCTTCGTGCCTTCTATTAATACCCTCAGCATTATACATATCAGCTATACAGCTCAACCTTCGTCCATTAGGTAGTTCAGTCTACAGCATTGGCTTCTTACATGAACACCATTGTCCTTCAACTCTCAAGACAGACACAATGTAACGCACAAGCATACACGAATCACAATCTCAACAAAAAAGTAATCAATCAATCAAGCAAGCAGGTTTCTCTATTTATTTCATTCCACTGCCCTCGACAGGACTCATTACTTCGTCCGTAGAAGTTACCAGCTGCGCTGCAAATGCCACAAATGCCATATCATGCGTGAGCTTTCCGCGAAAAACGCCACTTCGAAGAAGAAGAAAAAAGCAAAAAATCCTTCATGGGTATCTTCACAGACGTCCCTTTTCCTGGGCCCGTGCTGCGCTATGCTATCCTGTCTATGACCGAATACCGTAGACCGTAGAACAAGAGAAAAAAAAGTGCAGGTCAAACAGATCTACACGCCTCAATACTCCAATAAACTTATACAGAAAGCCGAAAGTGAATCAACACGTAATCGTAGATGTGCATAAAATGCTCGTTAGGCATTGTTGTCATCTCATTTCGTCCCATTAGTACTCCGTGTCCATCTCAGCCCATTGATCTGCGTGTCTATCGTAAGTGATGCGTGGGCCGAAGTTCCCTCGTTGGTCTCCGTTCCGTGCAGAAGGCGAACTACGCTGGGCCACGTCGATCGTGAATAAGTTACCGAAATCTATAGATGCGTGGTTAAGCTCCTCCTCCAGCGGTGCAAGAGAGCTCAGATCTAGTTGGAAACTAGGGGATGACGGTATCGGCATATTAAACTGACTGATATCAGGCATCAGTTGGTTGATGGATCGTGATAGTGGCGTGTCGAAGATCTGACTATCCAGAAGGTGCGAAGGTAGAAGACCGCCCGGTGAATGGCGCTTAACCCCACTGGAGCGAGGTGTTCGACTCGGAGTACGTTGAGCCATTAGAATCTGGCTTGGGGAGTTGAGAGACCTGCCAGAGCGCATAGATCTGGTAACACTTCTAGTGACCGGTCGATGGCTTGGGGTGGGGCGAGTCGGTGTCTTAAAGGGGCCACTATGGCTGGCCTTTGGAGGTGGTGTTGAAGGCCGGGGCGGAGTACCAAATATATCCACAAAGTCATCTTCCACTGAAGCCTCTCCAATCATTGCTGGGTCGCTATTCTCTTTCTCTAGCTTGCGCCCACTTCTTGCGTCCGGATATTCAGGTGGTGTCTGCACAATATTAATAACAGCTTCACCGAGAATCCTCTGCTCTCCATCTTTGCGCGGGGACGGAAAAAGGAGTCGTCGAGTAACTCCGAGGTCATCATCAAGAGCAATGGGGCTGCCGGGAGTACCACTTCCCCTGGAGTGTGTAGATCCCCGAGAATGTGTCGAGCCTTGGCAGTTTGCTTCTAAATCAGATTTCCCACTTCCCTTCCTCGAGTTCATTCCAAGGCCTTGCTGCTGTGTCTGGCTGAGCGATTCAGCCACTAAGTTTTTAGGAGATAGGGATCCATCTAACGGTCCAAGGGGATCTGTGGGTAGGCAAGCTTCTGAAGTTAAATTCGTCTGAGAATCGCTCTTTGTCCGTGCCTTCTTCGAACGAGGTGGTGCGGTGCCATTTGCCCTCTTCTTCCGTGTTTGAGAGAGCCTCTGCTCATCTTTCTCCCATTTCTCTGCTGGCCTATGCTGTTTGAACTTGCTAAACCAAATACCACAAGCTGTGAATTGTTAGTCAAATTCAACGCTAGTCATGTCGTTTACAACTTACGATTGCAGAGTAATACTTCATTCCACGCGTTTTTGCTGTCCTTTGGACCTAAGGACTTCTTAATAATTTCGTACGAGGTCACTTTGCCTTCGGTATCTCTCTCAAGAACATTAATGGCAGTGACGTAACCTGGCTTCTCCGAATATTCATGATACGCCGGAATACCTTTGTGTTCCTGTTTCCAAATCTTGCGCCATGTTGGCGTCTGCAGAGCCCCACAGTTGCGACAGAATGACGGCAGTTGACCTTGAGCAACGGCTTCTTCTAGTTTCTGACGGATTGTCTGTCTTTTGACGAAATTCTTATTTGACTTTCCATCGGCAGGGCCGATAGCATCAGTCTGAGGGTGTGCAGGCTCTGAGTGAAGCGTAGGAAAAGTCAATTGAGGAAGAATAGGATCACTCGCAGGTACCGCTGGAAGCTCGGGTTCTGGAGGCGTCTCCCGGCTTTGTAGAAGAGCAGGTGGTTCTATTTGGCTACTGGCGATCTCTGTAGTGGGTTGTACGTTATCGTACTTTGACAAATCTTCGGGAGATCGAGTAATTGAATGACCGCCATTTAAGGACCCTAGACGTTGACCCTGGTCCTCCATCAAGTCATCCATTTGAGCCATCTCTGGGTTTAATGTATTCCCTTGTGTGGTTGTTTTCTCTGGCGAGACTTCCTTTTCTAAGCGTTGCTGTTTAACAATTTCCGCCTCTACTCTTTCAGCTGGTAAGCACGGAGGTTCAGAAACCACGGGTGTTTTAGCAACTTCACTGGTTTTTCGACTAAGATGAGGTGGGTTATATATCGACGTTTGGGGTAACAACTCGGGGGGTCCAGGGGTCTCTGTATGGATGATAAGGTCACTTTGAATGTTGGCTGGCGCTTTCTTTGCACGACTTCGACGGGGCTTCGGCTTCGCTACCACAGGGGCCTTGCGCGCTACGTTAGTCTCTTCCTCTATTCGGCTGTCTAACCCTCCGCTCATATATCCTGAATCGGGCTGTGGCATTGCTATGGGCATCGGCGGTAAGATAGGGCTCGAAGGGGCTGGGCTCGATCGCATACTACTGTATAGTGCAGATCGTGGAACCGGAGGTGATGATCCAATGTCGGGACTAGCTCCATCGGAATATGTATGAGATGGCGACGCACCCGCAGACTCTACAGGAGATCGAGCGTCCTGACTTTGGGACATAGACGGATTGGGCTCTAGGAAAGATGGCGTGAAAGAGCGGTCCATCCCTGAACTTGATATCGATTCGCGTCTTAGACCACTGGGAGCTAAAGGTCGTGCTTGCGGGAGGCCTGAAAAACGAGAGTCGGGGACGGGCGTTGGAGCTCGTGGGATATCTTGGCCTGCAGGAACATCTCCCGCGGAAGCAATAGGTCGAAAATTTCGAATCGATCCCGCGGTACTGGCAACAACTCGGAGTGACTCCTGTACAGAGCCGAACGTAGCAGTATTACTACGTTCAGCTTTCGTCATTGTAGCCCTCTTCTTGCTTCGCGATGGTCCGTCATCCGCATCGGTGCCGTCTTCGTATCCCGATGTACTGCCCTCGGCCGGAAGAGGCTTCTTTCGTGGTCGTCCCCTAGGCCGCCCTGATGGGGGTCGGCTTGATGCTCTGGAAGCTGGACGTGACTGTGCTTTACCTCCCTTAACCAGTGCCGGCGCTCTTGCTAACTCCTCCATAACCATGCCTTGCTTTTGGGGAGCAGGTCCTTGAACTGAAGCTGGCCTATGCAACTCTCTGACACCTGGTTCGATCGAAGCTGGACGACTCCCTGGTGCTGATCTTGGCTCTTGAAAGCTCGATATGGGTGTATTGGCTCTAGGCTCGTGATTCGGGTAAAAGGGCTGAATGGGCGTAGGAACCACAGCGGAATAATTAGGTGTTCCCTGGGGTTGGGCTAGATTTGAATGGGATTGGTTGAATGAATTCCATTCGGTATTCTCTGAGGGGGTAGGTGTTGATGTTCTTGGAGCAGTAATCGGTTCTGTACCAGCCGCCGGGATTGAACTGTTTCGTGCAATTCTTGGAACTGGAGTCAATTTCAGTCTAACTTCGAGAGTCTCTCTGACGCCAGTTCCGAAAGCAGCGAGTAGATTCTTCGTGATGCGCCCCGTAACTAACTGTGGAGTGTTAGATAAATTAGGTCCTTGATCGAGGCCCCAGCTCAGCATGCCCTGTCCAACTAAGGGGACGTCCGGTTCAGAATAGTCATAAGCGTAGACGGTGTAATCCCTTTCATCGCTACCAATCAGCTCCGGACTGCATTGAGCCACTGCCTGCAGGCATGGCTTTAGGTCAATAACACCAATACGGTTTTGTTCGTCCATCGGAATCGTTTGGACTTGAAGAACATGAGGCCATCGGGCAAGACATCGTTCTTGGCAGTCTTTGTCGAAAGTATATTGGACTTTTACTGTACCGCAATGATTAGTCCTTGAAGCATCATTCGAGGGATCGATGATGCTTACGACCCATAGGCTTCACTTGTAGTCCATACTCATCGATGTCCTGATTACCACCCCAGGAGGTATTGCCAACGTGGTTCGCCATACTGGCAGTGAAGAGGCCCTTGGCCACTTATGATGAAGAGTTTTGATGCACACGAATATGCAAATGAGAATGTTATATGATTAAGGGTATACGATATAATTGTCGGGCCCAGTTTCGTAAATTATCGTTATCAAAGACGTGTCATGGTATTGAGTCGTTGCAAGTTTTCATAATCCCAACACGGATTCGCTAGGATGTGAAGGTAGACTTGGGTTCGGGAAGGGAAAAATTCGAATATTGTTATGTATGTTAATTATCGAATATAATATGTAGGAACGGATAGTTACGCTAATTCCAATTGGAATTGGTAAAGTCCGACAATTGTCGAACAAGGGGAAAAGTTGAAGAAGTTGAGGATATTGTGAGGATATTGTTGTAAACTGGCGGAGGTACGAAGTACGAAAGTACAAGTTGGGCGGAACAGATATTTAGGAAGTCAAAGTACCCGGCAACGCGCTGAGGGTTAGTGGGGATTCGCGCTAATAGTTTCAATTGAAGAACGCGTTAAAGCGTGTCTCGCGATAAGACGTCACGTCACTTGATCGGGGGAGGCTGGACTTGCACTAGGGGACTATCAGCCTGTCAGCAAGAGATCGGTTATCATATCATATGGGGCCGTTACGCACAGACTATATATGCCGAGTTCGAAAAGGCGCTAGTACGTATTAAGCCAACACAACATGAAGGTAGAGCACCAACGCCGGTAGCTGCACCTTCTTCTCGAGACAATCCAGAAAAAGTTATTGAATTTGTTTGTAGGATATAAGAGGGGGGCTCCGAGGAGATATTTATACTAGCCGGTGAGCCCCACAATTCAACGGCCCCTTTAATGACTCAGCCAAATCAGGCTGTCTAGGTACACATCTTAACCCCCCTTTACACCAACTGGATGGATATGTTAGGTTAGGTACCTTAAAGGTGCGTAATTTAATACGTGCCAAGGTGCCTATCCATCCATCAAATGGAAAACCACCAACTGATCCCTACGCATCGATGGATTCCCGTACAAGTCCTGCGCCGAGATCTTGCTATCTCTAGCCGTTGCTGGCCTATCATAATATACATGAAGAGGTAATGCAATACGATGTGCTATTTTGATTATTCGTCGACCCATTCCGCTTTGCCCTCTTCGTTCACGATGGTCTTTCTAGACAGAATCTCATCCACAATAGTGGCGATGCCCTGCCTGCCATTTTTCTTTCGGACTAATTCTTCTCGAACCTCGTAACGGGATGATCTACCTTCTCTAACAATGACTTCAACATCCTGTTCCGTAGGTACACCAAAGGATTGGTACGGGTATTCGGAGTAGCTCCTATCTGTCACCAAGTTTAACTGTGACGGGCCGCCGCTCTGTTGGAAGAAGGGCTCGACAATCTTGCTGTCTGGTGAGATATCTTCTAGACTGGCCGGCTGCCACTTCGGTGTTTCTTTCGAAACGAGTCGCGCTGTAACGCCCTCTATAAAGTCAGGATGCTTCATAAACCTAGCAGCGATTTGGTATTCTCTCTGGAATGTCTGTGAAATTGACCAGTCGCGACCTAGCCTCATCTGCCTAAGAGCCACGTGAACTGAGGTTGGCGATCGTTGATGCAGAGTTTCCAGCGTCTTCTCAGCCCAGGCTTGAGTAGCACCTTGCTCTGCCTTTAAGGCAGCTATGATGTCGGCAACTTTGTTTTTGCTGAAGCATCGATCAATGGCCTTCCGAAGTTCGCCACCTAACAGGATTGATTCTCCAGGAGGTAGTCCGGTCGCATATTCCTCGATAGTCCTCTCGATAATAGCAAGACGTTGTGCCATGGTGTCATAATCTTTAAACCGCAACTCGGCTAACCGTGATTCCAGGCTCGGTAAACTGGTTGAGTGTAGATAGTGAGTTGCGATTCCAGAGTAAAATACGTTCGCTCCTGTTAACCGATCGCTTGTCAGGGCCAAGTAAGTACCTATAGAGCCCGCCATCCTTGGTAGGAAGAACGAGGCACCAACATCTGGGAAAAAGCCTATGGTAGTCTCTGGCATTGCGAAGACCGTCCTTTCGGTAGCAATTCGGAATGGAGCATGAATACTAAGTCCTACGCCACCGCCCATTGTGATGCCGTCCATAAATGCGATATATGGTTTCTGATATGTCGCGATGTAGTGATCCAACTGGTATTCCTGCGCAAAATACTCTACCGACTTGTTCTGGCCCTCTGGGCCTTCTTTGTTTTGTGTCGCTAATTCGACCACATCGCCTCCCGCGCAAAACGCCTTCTCACCAGCACCCTTCATAACAATCACATTTGCCATGTCTGATTTCTCCCACTCGACTAATCGGGGGAATATCTTCCTAATCATAGAGCCACTGAGTGCATTATGCTTGGAGGGTCGATTAAGCTCGACGGTCCGCAGACCATATATGTTATTGAAGAGGACATCATTGGGTTCATCTGTATCGAGCTCCTTAGGAATTGTAGACATCTGCACCAATAAATCAGCAGACGTTCGCTAAGAAAGTATATCTTCTTCTGATCATACTTGTGCTCGTGCCGCAGGTTGGGGACTTATTATCTTAGCTCTTAGTGGCATAGTAGAACTTGTTCTCCAGCAAGGAGAGGTAGCAGTGGTAGCTGCTGACCCAGCTCTCCTTATCAAGACTCTGAAAGACATCTAATCCAGTTTTCCGGATGCGCAACCCTCTACCTATATGCGCATCTAGGGACCTGTGCTGAAACCTTCAAGGGTCCGGGGGTCAAGTTGCGATAAGCGGTTTTCGATGCAGTCGGGAGTTGATATCCTCGGTTTAAAAAAAAAAACTGATATCTTTTACCCGAAGTACCTGAGTACCTCTTACAAAGAGGAAGAGGAGTACGGATTAGGTACATCATTCAATGTACCTGGTCCTTGGCGTTCAAATCCACTGCACCAAAGCGGAGACCTAGGTATTCAATTTGAAGCTTAACGCGCTTCGACCAATCAAATCTCTCCTTTCTTCTAAAGGCACTAAGACTTTGGAGATTTCAAGAAACCGAACATAACCAAACATCTCAGCCTTGCCTCAACCTTGACAAACTGTCGCTTTTGATTCAATAATCCGACCACAACAATCAATATGGCGGACAATAAGATTCAGTAAGTTCTAAATAAATTGCATGTATTGGTATGGTTGAAGCTAATATTATTCGTTTAGGGAGCTTCTCACGAAGCCACGCAATGAACTGACGTTCGTATTCCGCCCTGCGATCTATGGGCTTCCTTTTTTCTAACTCGCGAAACAGGGAATACGAGATATCGCTTCTCGAGGAGCATGAGTTCAGCGCCGGCCCTTTATCGATTCTCCAAACCGCTGTCCGAAGCCATACACAGGTTCTGATCTCTTGTCGTAACAACCGGAAACTCCTAGCTCGCGTCAAGGCGTTTGACCGCCATTGTAACATGGTGCTAGAAAACGTCAAGGAGATGTGGACCGAGACGCCCAAGCTATCAAATGGGAAGAAAGGAAGACCTGTCAACAAGGACCGATTTATTAGCAAGATGTATGTTGTGTACACCCCACACAGCTCGATGACAGAAGACCTAATTTTGCATCTTTCACAGGTTCCTACGAGGAGATTCGGTTATCCTAGTCCTACTCAGCTAGAGAAAAAATTGGAACTCGGTTATAAAATACCACTCGTGTACGCGGCATATCCTTCATTATACGGTGTCTAAAATAGGTAGACAGAGCATGAGGGCCGAGACAGCATATCAATGCAGCATTATGTCTCATAGGGCGTGCTCATTACGGTGATAGCAGTTTGACGAAGCTGCCTAAAAGGAACATATTGAGCAATAGAGAAAGCCGTGATCATGGGATGAAATAGGGTGCAGATATTATTAAATCTGATTATATACTCCGCACCACCAAATCGGCTCAATACCATTACAAGACCCGTAGGTGACTAACAATTATATAGTTTCCCAGCTTTCATCATCATCAGATTTTATCCCAGCAAGGCCCAGGAAGAAACTCGCCAATCCCCAAGCGCCTGGGTCAGGCACCTGTTCAAATCCAGAGCCCCCAACATACACTGCCCGGCCCAGGCTGGGCTTCATCCCCTTGGTCTCCTCAGCAGCTTTCTTCGACGCTTCAGCGGCCTCCTTAAGATCACCCGTCTTTCCGAGAACCTCAACAAACGGATACAGGGCGTCTACTAATGTGCGATCACCCGGCCGTGCGGGTGTATATCTTGATAGCGCATCACAGCTTTGCTTGAGAGCACTAGCCCATACTTGCGGAGAAGCGTCTCCCGGTGCAAGTGTTCGGAGTGAATGAACAAGAGCATTTAGGAAGATCGCAAACAGCGCCCCTGAAGTGCCATCCATTGCCTTTTCGACAACAGTGACGATATGAGCGAGATCGACGACGACGTCTCCTGTTGCCGGCTTCTCCTTTAAATGATTAAGGACAGCTACAAGTTGTTAATATTAGGTAGTCTTCTATCAATGCCTTAGCGTTGACTTACCTTCAGCACCACGCTTCAAACCGATGCCGCAGTCGCCATCTCCAACCACAGTATCATATCTGGTCACCTCTGGCTCGACCGCTGCGATAGCTCGCAAACCTGAAGCCAGAGCATCATTAAATGCATTGCCGTTAGTCTTGAGACCACTTGATTTGATGCTTTGGCCGAAGCCCGTTCCGTTTTCCCTCGTAGCGGCATTCTTTGCTTCCCATGTGGTTTTCTGGATCGGTGCTGACCAGCCTGTAGCCTCACATGGATAGTCCAATAGCTGAATCATGCTCGGACCACCAATATCTGTATTTACGACATTCAGGAGCGAAATACTAAATCCCAACCCGTTCAAGCTTGTCACTATAGTGATCGTGATTAGCGATCGACATTCATAGAAAACCCCCGTAACCATATAGGATAATTACTTACTGTATGTTCCGCTCAGAATCCTCACGGGCTGAATACCCCAGGATGATCTTAGCTGCTTCGCCACCTCCGCAGTGATGCCTCCTAGTTCGAGAACGCTAACACCTCCAAGGTTGTTCACGAGCAGTACTATTTCGTTAGAGTTTACGTTGAGGAACGCCCTGTCCTTGTCGTTCTGGTCCAGAAGCTGCGATAGCATCGTGCCCACGAGCTCTGGGAGATTGACCTTCTTTCGTCCTGATCCTGCCTCGTTATGGATACCCATTCCAATTTCTACCTCTCCATCTTGAAGGCTCTCGGCGGCGTTAGAACCGATCGCTCTGCCGGGCACATGCACATGATCAAGGCTAGCTCCAACGCTCACAAGATTAGCTGCAGTGAGTTTTGCGACCTTGTAAACTTCTTCGAGGCTGCGTCCCTGTGCAGCGAGAGCGCCAGCTATCTTGTGCACTAGTACTGTCCCAGCGATTCCTCTCCTACCAACTTTACCTCCCCTTTCCCTGCCAACTCCAACGTCATCGCCAACAATGACCATCTCGACATTCAGACCGTCAGCTTTCGCCTTCTCGACCGCCATACCGAAATTAAGAACATCGCCAGTATAGTTCATGACGGTAACCAAGACACCTTTGCCAGTATCCACTCTCGAAGTTATAGCCCTGCGTATTTGCTCCGCGCTAGGTGATGCGAAGATAGTTCCGGCCACGGCAGCCGAGAGCAAGCCAGTACCGACGAAGGCACCGAAACTCGGTTCGTGCCCACTGCCACCACCGCTGATAATTGAGACCTGCGATGGCTCATGACTGGGTCTTTTATAGACAATCTTGTTCTCAGCATCCAGGGCCACAGAAGGGTTAGTAAGGGTGAGGCTCTCAAGAGCCGAGTTCACCAGCAGAGTAGGATCATTGATGAAATGCCTAGCCGACATCTTAATATAATTGCGAAGACCTCACTTGTTATAAGATTGAAAAGTGTACGTGTGAAGTTCTCGTGAATTAAAAATGGTAAGGTTTTGATGGACTGGACTTGTATTATATAGGTATATATATTTGGCGACACAGGAAGGAGAGGGCAGATAAAGCATGGCTTCCATCTGAATGGCTTAGGTACTTGATCATTCTATGTAGTGGCTTCCGATTATTATTAAGTCGATACATGTATGATGCAGGTGATTCAGGTACCGTGTGTTTCGGCTTGACATACACAGTCCAAGACTTCAAGGACGACCTAGGTAATCGGTAAAGCCACTACGGAAGTGCGGGGTCTCCTCGCGGGGTTTACTAGTTGATAGGATTCATCGGGCTTGGACACGGCATCTTCCCGACTTAGAAAAATATCGGGAAGAAGCCGTTAGCAGGTTGAAATTAGCTAGTGCAGTGCCAAACCCAAAAACGGGTTTGACGGCTAAAAGATATCACAACTATTAGCTAGGCGTAGGTTCGGTACATATGTTAAGGTACCTAGGTACAATACCGTGTAAGTCGCACGCAGAAACACCTCAACATCACATATGTTCCAGGTCATACATATGCACGACCATCCGTCCTCCCCTCCTTGCATATCAGGTGCTTAAAACATACCTCTACATAGATCTGGACCATCTACATATGTACTCTTTGCAGTATTACGGTATTTCACCCCACTAAACAGCCTTAATACTACTACATACCCATTAAATGCCGCCCGTTACACATACCCACTAGAAACACTGACAAGATACTACCGGAGATTCTCCTACATATACCTTCCGCCGTCAACGGACCTCTTTTCCCTTGCCACTTGCCCCAAGGCTTGCGCGGCTCTCTCACCGGCATTCTAGCGGCTGATCGAAACAAATATATTTACCAGGATCAGAATAAATAGCTTACCCGAGACCTTTCAGGCCTCCAGCCGCGTTTATGCACACAGGCATTGCTAATATATTTCTCAAAAATTCAAATTTAGTACTGAGTTACTGAGGAAGCTCCAGAGGATGTCCGAAGATAGGGGGTTCGAATCTAACAGTACGCAATTTAAGAAACACCGTGATTTACATTGCGCCAATTTTATCCGTAATTTGATGAAGTTCTTGCACTTACATAGTGACATGTGTCAATACATACATAGATTCGACAACATTGATCTTCGTTTTCACCGCTATTAGATTGCAAATCGCCTTTGCAACTGATAGCAACATCGCATACGGCAGGCCATCACATACTAACAACACGTGGTACTTGAACCGTTGAGGTCTATGTAAATTCTATGTTCCTAGAGATGTTTTTATCAGTCTTCGTCCTTAGAACACGAGAGTCCAGCAACTCGGTGTCAGAGATTCAAGAAATACCATTATTTTCTTCTATCGTAGCGTTCTTAGTGCCCATGCACAGTCGTATGTATTGACAGTGGTCCTAGATATTCATCTAAGATATACATAAGTAATCAAATATGAGGCTACCTACCTATTCAAATCATCACCACCATGTACAAGATACAGGGGTACGGAATACATTCTAAATATATATCGATTTCAGATGGTGTGGAGTTTATTGTGGCAGATTGTGGCTAGCTATGTGATTCCTAGAATAGTGGTGACATCGTTGTTAAGTTGACTATTTAGGATTACAGGATTAGGATCTAGCTATGTTTATATATGCATAGAATG